ATTTACAGGAGGGGTGGGGAAACTGTGGTCCTCCTGATGTTGCTGGAACCCAGCTCCCACCATCCTTGACCACCAGACATGGGTGCCCAGAAATATCTTGAGGGCCACAGGTTTCCCATCCTTGGCTGGACTTAGACACATCAAATAAGTGTTTCACTTAAATGTGTTTTAAACTTTGCATTAGAAATCAGGATGGCAAAAACCAGTACTTCACAACACCATCTGGTGTCACAGTTTTAGAATGCATAAACAACACATATAAAGAGCCTTTTCTTTGCCAACGTAGCTGAGTCCCCTGTTTAACATTCTTCAGCTGAAGTTTTCTGAGTGTGTCAAGATTCTGGATGGCTCAATAAGAACATAAGAAGAACTGATGATCTAGTCTAGGGTCCCATCCTCACAGCTGCCAACCAGAGCCCTGTGGGAAACCTGCAAGCAGGACCTGAGCACAAAAAAATTCTCCCTCCCTGCAGTTTCCAGCAACTGGTATGACTGGTATGACTGGAGGCAGAGCAGAGCCATCATGGCTAGTAGCCATGGAGCCAAGCACTGATGTAACCATTTTAAGTTGTGTAAGATTATAATTTGGCAGACCTGATCTGACACACTTTGCAGTGAAAGCATACTTTAATTGTCATTAAATAGTATCTTGAGGGTTAATCATGATCACAGAAGAGTTAAAGTTAAATATCTAGATGGTAAAACTACACATTAATTCTTTCCTGCACTAGTTATTCCCAAGTCTGTAAAAAAAAAACACAAATTGGACCACTGATTCCCATTTATTCAGTATTTTTTAATATGCTTCTTGCTTTTCTAACTTTATGGTCAGTGACCCCCAGCTGTTCACACAACTTTGTAATTAACTTAGCTTAATTGCTTTATGATCCACCTTCCAGTATTGGTCTTAAAGGATTCTTGCAATTGTAATTATATATAAAACTTATGTCTGAAATTCTCCAAGAACTCAAGAACCTTTAGTGTAAATTAAAAGGAACAATAGTGGTTAGCAACTAAATTTACTCAAATACTTTCATTAATAATAGTGATGTCTCTAATGTTTCCTTGCTTTCCAACATTCCCACCAAATATGAAAAAAAATGCACTCTCTTTCCTTACAGAACCACTGGCTTACCACTTTACTATTGAATTTGTTTTTTTGTGTGTGTGGTACAGACCCTAGCCATATGATGACACAACTGAACTCTGGTTTCGTTTCCTCCTCCCACCCCAGTATAGGTTTATATTTTTATTATTGTCTGTAGTGCTGATCTGCAGTACATTACACTCACAGCTTATGCACATTTAACTTTATCGCTTGGCAAACATTAAAAATATAAGAGAGGGCAGGTGTTTGGGGGAAAACAACTTTGGCAGCCCCACCTGCCATTGCACCCAAAATATTTTGACTATACACAATTTTGGCTTTAGGCACGACCCCCAGAATGTAACCTTCACATAGTTGCAGCCTTACTCTAGTATGTAGTGACTTTCACATAATAGAATAAGTCAGTGGTATAGCATGGGTTGCTGGGGCCTGGGATGGGACAGGTGGTGGGCAGAGTGGTGGGGGTGGACTGGGCAACTGGGGTGGGGGCACATGCATGGAGCCTGTCTGAAGGGTGAACAGAGCCTGCCTCCCAGCAGGCTCTTCACCTGCTGCCTCCATTCACCTGCCCAGTAGACAAACCTGCCTACTCCCACACCTCAACTGCTATGGCTCTGTGCCTGTTGTGGGGGTGCCTGATTGTGCCCCCTCAAAAATGTACACCCGGGACCATGGCCCCCCTGCCCCCCCATGCCCTTGGAACAAGTACCATGTGTATTATGGGACTCAGGCACAAGACTGGTCAGGAAAAGAAATCTCACACTCTGTGGTTCCACATGCATTAAGTAACCAGGGAAGGACAAATTGGTTATTTTTGGTTTCTCTCTATTTATCATTTTCCAGTCTTAAGTTCAGAGCACCACATTTATGCATTTTTGATGTTTTATTATTATTTTTAGTCCTCATGAAAATTTGTCAGTGTTCTGGTGCAAATTTCTCCTCGTATATACATTTCCGTATGCAATTTTGCCCAATAACACACATTTTGCAAGCAATTTTCTCTAACATAATGTATTTCATAGGATGCTTTTGTTAGCTTATGCATTTTAATGCACACTTTCTCCTAATATACACATTTTTGCACCCATTGGTTGGTTGGAGAACCATGTCGCAAAATTCTGAGAAGTGGTCATTTTGAAGGATGGCCGTGCTTTTATTCACATGTTGTTTGAGAAAGCGAGAATTGGGTAGGTTCACATTAAAATCCAATCCAAATCAAATTTCCTTTCAATCCCTGTGACTAACCAAGAAATATTGTATGGATGTGGGTCAATTACTTCCCCAGGGCAATGTCCAGGTATGAACAGAAAAAGGTAAATCCCAAATGCAGAAAAACCTGATGCCAAAAAGAAATACAAAAAAAACTCCCAAGCAAACCCATAATGAAGTCAAACCTTCAGCTAAGGCTGTATATTTCTAATACATATGTAGGGCATTTCTTGAAAACCCTTTTACATCCTTAAAGTTTTCAAATAATTATCTAGCTGGGGAAAAAATATTAGCTAGTTTGCTGATGCTGAAAATCCGTTTCTAAGTGGCACACAGCATAATAGACCAGATTTGGCATCTTTAAGAGGATTGAGGACCTTGAAGATAGCTCTTATGACATATTCTTGCCTTACCAAAATGTGGCTCTTGAAGTCTTAATGTCATACATTTCCCCCCTCTAGTGTGACAGTTTTGCTTATTAATCATGTGAATTGTAAATTCCAAACCACTGTTCTGTGGGTTTTGAATTAATGTGCAACTGTTTAAAATAACTGGCATCACACATAGTACTTATCCATGTTTTTACCTGAAACTTTGCATTTTCAGCTTCACATGTAATACTGACCTTTCTTCTTCTTCCTCCTTCTCCTCCTCTCATTTTCTTTCCTTTGGCATTGTAGAAACCATCACATCTTCAACTGTTTAGAGTCTGGGAAGGCCCTGTAGCTCATTTGTGGAGCTCTGAATATAGAAGATCCCATCCCATTTGCATCCCCACTTAAAATAATCCCAGGTAGGAGGACAGGAAAGACACCAGCTCAAATCCTTGGAGACCTGCTGCCCATCAGAGTAGATCAGGCCACCAATGACATGCCAATGCCATGCTAAACTACAGTTCCCACCATCAAAGACATACCTAAAGGTTGAAAAAACTGTCCTTCATCGGGGATGCAGGCCTGGGTGGGTTATATACAAGGCAGCTTCATGCATTCAAGCACAATCCCCCAGCGTCTACATTCAAAGTAGGATTTGACATGAGCAGTTGTCCTGCAGTTTCCATGAAATATCTCCCTCCTCCAGATAAACCCCTTCCTCTTTTCAGTATGTACAGTTTAAGCCATTTGGAAACATCAGCAATGCTTTTGGAAAGTGCTTATTTTTAGAAATGATGAGCAAACTTACAGGAATGGCAAGGAAAAACAAGAGAAGAAAAAGCTTACTACAACATAATTTGTTGTCTTAGTATAAAATCAAATCTAATCTAGGTATAATGGATATAAGTCTATGATCCCCAAACGGAATATATTACTCAACAGTGGCAAAACTCTGGCTTTACTGCCAAGTTGACTGCTGAATCATTTAAAGAATGGCTTAGTGCCCAAGGCTCAATTTCTGTTGTGTGAGGAGTCCTGTCTTCCAAGTTTAAATATTCTTTCTTCTTATTTAAATGTATTCATGTTCTTCCTAATTCTCTCTTTTCTAGATGTCCCAACTGCGACTTCATTAAATTTCTCCTTCCCCTACAGCACTTGCTAGTCTTGACTCTTCATGAGCTCTGATCGAGTACAAAGGTAGCTCATTTAAGTTTCTCCTTTGCTACAATCCCCATGTATCATGTTTCTCTGGGATTATTTTGAAAAGTTTCATTTTAGTAGAACTATCAGGATTGAGGGCTTTGATCTACAACTTGGCTGTTGTGGAAATGAGCCAATCCCCGGAAGGGTGTAGTCACTTGCCATACACACCCAGCTAATGTTTTATCTATTATGGCTGTATATTTCTGCCTTTCCTAGTTGCCTTCACAGAAGAAAAACTGGGAGAGAAGGAGTGCTTCAGTCCACCCAGTGAGTCTGTCTGCAGCCAAGCTTGCAGTTTGTCTTTCCCCCAAACCACTTTGCTGTTTCTGATTGACTAGCTATTGGTATCAACCATCTTTCACGCCCGCCCCCCCCCCCTTAAAGTATGTCCCGGCTCTGCAAGTCTGCAACAGCCTTGCATTTTTAATTTATTTTATTAATGATACTTAGGTCACATCCACACTGTACATCTAAAGCACATGGTTCTCCTCAAAGAATCCTGGGAACTGTAGATTGGTACAGGTGCTGGGAATTGTAGCTCTATGAGGGGTGAACTGCAGTTCCTGGGGTTCTTCGTGGGAAGGGCATGTTGGTGGTATAAATGTCCTTTAAATGTGCTGCTCATTCATAGAAGAGCTCAGAAATACCTGTTTTTGTTATGTGCCATGCAGGAAACAAACCAGCCTCATTTCAGCAGCGGAAATGCATTATGTGCCTTATTTCATGTATCTTATTGTAAGTGTTCAATCTCTTACTTTCTACTCCACTTCCTGCTTGCCTAATCTTTGCTAGCCATTAATAGATGCATCTGTTTATATCGGAAGTCTCTTGGGGCATCTCTAGAGATTCTATGATGATTTCCTTGGATTTGAACCAGCCCTAGTTCTGTGAACGAGATCTGACCCCGATCATCCACACACATGGCGACTCCCATCCTGCTAGCACTGCCTATTGCCAAGGCTTTGTCACAGCCACTCGTCCCATCTTAAAAAGCAACCAGGAAGTATATTACAGAGCCAGACAACTGGGCAGATGAGAAATCTCAGCGAGGAAACTTTGGAGAGGAATGTTGCCGTTCATATCTGTAAGATTTAGTTACCATTGATGGATTAACCTGATCAGTGTTCTTAAATCTGACCATAGAAAGGTCACAATTTAATACTTTTCTACATGGTCACGTCAACTCAGTCTCGTCTCAAATAACGCTGCTCCTTGGACATTATGGGAATGGTATGTCAGCGAGTCCCCAGCGTCCCCTGTTAACAAAAACAGAATCGTTTTGTAAACATTGGAACTCATCTTTCGGTGGTTTTAAGTTCAGCTGTTTATATACTTTTCTGCAATGCAAAGGATTGTTGATGGCCCTGTTAGTATATGAAAATTGGTTCGAGCCAGAAAAGAATTTGGAATATGAATTGGCTCTCCCCACAACCTTAAGAATGCTGAAAACCGAGCTGAAGCACATTAGCACTGTGAAGTACATTAGACTGGAGGAGAGCAAATATACTTACTTATAACAAGGTGCTTAAGGAGGTGTCTGTGGTTCGCCTTCCACCCAATTGTATCCTCACAACTAACTTGTGAGGTGAGTTAAGCTAGGAGATAGTGACTGGCCAAAGGTCATCTGATACACTCACACGGGAGGGGTAGAGAAGGTGGTGCCTCCAGATTTTATTGAACTCCAGCTCCCATCAGCCGCACCCAGTATGGTCATTGGTCATGGATAATGGGAGCTATAGTGCCGTGACATCTGTAGGGAACTAGACAATGCTATGCTGGCATTCTGTGTACTTTGTAATATTAAATACTGGGACAAACAATGGAGAGGATTGGTGCCTTCCTGTTCTGCTTGTGGAAACGCAATACAGTGGTACCTCGGGTTACAGACTCTTCAGGTTACAGACTCCGCTAACCCAGAAGTAGTATCTCGGGTTAAGAACTTTGCTTCAGGATGAGAACAGAAATGGCGCGGTGGCAGCAGGAGGCCCCATTAGCTAAAGTGGTACCTCAGGTTAAGAACAGTTTCAGGTTAAGAATGGACCTCCAGAACAAATTCAGTTCTTAACCTGAGGTCCCACTGTAGACCATTCTTATGCCTCTCATGCCACCCTGTACTGTAGATGAAAGTGGCAGCAGATAGGCATATATGTTCATCCAGTTGAATGTTGCACTCCGAATGACAATGTTCTCGCACTGATTATAGCTGAGAGGAGTGCCAAAATGAATTTGTAATCCAGCATCTGCACATAAAAGGCCACCTTTCTTTCTCTCCCTTCCCCCAGTATGTTTCTTTACCGCTATATGAAACAACAACAAAAGTGGATGCGGGGTGAGGCGAGGCAGGGGGCGGGGGGGGGGATGGAGACTCACAATACAAAATAGCATCTAAATAGCTCCAGTCATTTGGTTCTTTCAAAATGACTTGAAGAAATGGAATAATCTGTTTGGTTTATGAGGCTTTCACAATGGGAAATTTGCTGCAGTACCTGTCAATTGCGGGAAATGTGGAGAATGTATTTGATGTATCGTGTAACAACTTCATTTGAAATTCTTTGCCTAAACTCTGAAGCAATCAGAGCTGCCAAAGGAAAGAGAAATAACAAAATGGGCATCTAGCAAAACTGTTTAATATAGAACAGCAAATTGTTGTGTAGGACAAGGTCAGAATTTGTTGATCAGAATTTGCACAAATGTACCTCTGTGTGCGTACATGTGGAGATCATTGCAGATAATGTGCCCTACATGAATCTGTAGCTGTCACTTTATGCATATATTTTCTACCTTTTCTCCACAAGAAGAATAATATTTACTGAAGCCATGTGAGGATATCCCATTCTACCTGAATCCTTGTTCAGCTGAGAAATCCAAACCCCCTATACTCTGGTATATGTGTGGATTGGGCAGAGGTGTCCAATTTTGCTGACCTCCACGGACCTACACCTGTGGAGTAATGACAGCATCACCTGCCCCTTCCACCTGCCAAACATGATCTGGACTGGATCCCAGGTGACATAGTGATCTGCCTGCTGTTCCACCTTCTGCCCTGGCTGGCAGGACTGTGAATACAGGGGTCTCCTCACTACTCCATTAAGCCTCAATGGGCAGCGACCAAGGTTAGTACTGCACCCTAGGAGAAGAACTTTGGTTAGCTTCTGTGTAGATGAAGCACTAATTCACAGTTAGGACTGAGATTGCATTGGGGGACATATGTGGGCATGGAGAGGAGTAATGGGGAATGATCCTGCTTTCTGGAGTTTGCCTCTCTATGTGCAAATTGCAAACCATATTTGCAGGAAGTCAGCATCCCATTTACACTGGGCAAAGTTTGCAAAGTTAACATGAACCTTTGTCATTTAAAAATGTACGTTTCTGGCTCCTGTTCTGTCAATATGTTTGATCTACACTATTGTTCATTCTAAATCAACAACAAATATTGTTTGTTTTTGAAAACCTAAGTAAAATCATAGGAGCTGGGCAAACAAGGAACCTGCCTATAATTCAGTGTCTAAGACGCAGCGTGTGCCCATTTAACAAACCCTACTCCCGGACAAAAACAAGCATTTGTTTGAGCATTGACACGCAAAATCAATACAGAACTCATTGAGGCTTCAGTTTGCTTCAGATGTTTCTATGCTTTAGATGTTCTGAGACTATCAGTAGCCAGACTATTTCATTTTAGAAATTTCAAAAGATAAAATGGTTTTCTTCACCTTGTGTTACGACCACATGTTTGATTTTAATAACTGTATCACACTTTAATGTGCAACCTGCTATGTAGTCATAATCAGAACGTTCACCCCCATAACAGCCCCGAGGGACTATTAATATTGCGTTTTGATGGGTGGGAGATGGGACTAAATCTGACAGAGCAATGACCAGAAGTAACCAAAGATTTGTTGCTGCTGGAGGGGGAGCAGGAAATGGCGCTTCCCCATCCAAGCTGTGGTGCATAGTATCCAAGGCCATTTAAGTTAAATTTTTCATTATAGTAAGGTAAAGGTACCCCTGAGCGTTAGGTTCAGTCATGGACAACTCTGGGGTTGCGGCACTCATCTCGCTTTACTGGCCGAGGGAGCCGGTGTTTGTCCGCAGACAGTTTTTCCGGGTCATGTGGCCAGCATGACTAAGCCACTTCTGGCGAAACCAGAGCAGTGCACGGAAACACCATTTACCTTCCTGCCGGAGCGGTACCTATTTCTCTACTTGCACTTTGACATGTTTTTGAACGGCTAGGTTGGCAGGAGCAGGGACCGAGCAACAGGAGCTCACCCCGTCATGGGGATTCGAACCGCCAACCTTCTGATCGGCAAGCCCTAGGCTCAGTGGTTTAGACCACAGCGCCACCCGCATCATTATTCATTCATTATAGTACTAGAGTATTAATAATGATGGTGATGATAGACAAAAATCTAACCATTTGGTCCCATTCATGAAAGTGCAAATCAGCGGCCTTACTTTGCCTAATGATAGGGCCGGTTCTACATGGAAATCCTATGTATTTTTGTTCAGAAGTAAGCCCTACTATATGAGTCAATGAGTCATATTCCAGGACAGGGTGCATAGGATTGTAAGGTGCTAGCATTCGTGATCTCCGGACATCAGGACACATATACCTCATTCTCTGGCAGTGGTGCGGGTAGTTTTAGACTCTGGGCATAACAGTCTTTTGGGGACACACAAACACCTTTAGATGGCCATGCACTTTACTTCATTCATTTCAAAATGTCACAAGCCAGCCCTGCTGCTTATTCTGCGGAGTGAGGCGTTTGGACTTCTGCATCTGAGTCCTGCCCTGATACCACCACAGCTCTCTGGATCATGTTGTTAGCTTGCCAGAGGGAAGAGCTGCTGGCCTTTTCTTCATTGAAGCCAGCTACACCTGCACCATTTAAAGCACTTTACCATCATGGCTCCCTACATTTCCCTTCTGTTTTGGTTTTGGTGTGTTCCAGATCATGGGGCTTTGGGGAATTGCAATGGCTGATCAGATAGCTAGGATGGCACTGGGACAGATCGACATTCTGTATACTGGTGTATTTTTCATTAACTAAAATTTTTTATTTTATATATTGCTGAGACTTTTAATACATATTCCGCCCTGAGAGTCTGGTGAAGAGATGGAATGGCAATGTTTTAAGTAAGTAAGAAAGGCAGAGTGGTGACATTGACTATTTCTCAGGCTGAACGGGCAATGCTATGAGATGCAACAAATCCTCTATTTGTTTGTCCTCAGGTTTTTTTTTATTTCTTTCTTTCTCATTTATGGAATCATCTGTCAAGAATGCAGAAGGTGACAGTGAAATGCATAGTTCAGTGTTAACAGCAACAGCTTTTCTTTCCTCTGACAAAGGCAACTGCTTAAATAGGTCATGGAATAAAAATAGTATTGAAAAGCAATGCATGGGGATCGGATATTGTTTCTTGCTCCAGTGGTGTAAATCTAGAGTAACCCAAGTTTTACAAAAGTAGCTTGAACAATATGGCAATGCAATCCTACACATGTCTACTACTCAGGAGGAAGTCCCACTGAGTTTAATGGGGTTTAAGCCCAGGAAACGGTACAGGATTAGAGTCTAATTTTATTATTTGGCATGCAACACTATACTCATGTAGCTGGGAGGGTGTCCCATGGAACTCAATAATTCTGAGTAGACATGTTAAAGTGTAGGTGGGTTCCCACGAGGCAAGACACAGTGATAACAACAAGAACCTTTATTTAACTAACAGAAGTGGACATCAGGGGCAAAGCAACTGCTTAAATACATTTCTGAAGGCCTGGGCCACTCCCATTCCCGAAGTGATTGGCTGTCTAAACTTCAAAGCTGCGAATCATAACTCAGAATTTAAGGGCCAATGGCAGAGGCCCAAATTGGATATCATGTATCAAATCAGAACACAGGAGCTCAGAATCCTTATTCCAGACTCAGGCAAACACAGACCACTGAATACATAACACATGTATAGGATTGCTCTGCACATTAGTTAATTTAAAAAGTTTGCTTATTTATCTTAAATCTTTAAATGAAGAATTTCAAAGTAATGGAATTGAAAACAGCAGAAGAGATAACACCTTAAACATCAGTTTAAAAACAACAAAAATAGCAGCATCACGTTAGGAATCTTGGACTGGTACTTTAAAAATATCAGATTAGTGCTGTTTGGTAATATTGGGGGATCTTGCTCATTTTGCTATGTGGGACCCTGGACTTCTGCCCTGCCCTGAGTACAACCAGAACTTTCCATTACTGGTCATGCAGTGGTTTGCAGTTGAAAATATTGACATCCATAGCCAAGTGGGACCTCTTTGTGCATAATTCATTGTGAGGTCAAAGCCAGTAAACGGCACTGTGAAATCTGATTATTAATGTATTAACAAAATCTAGTTGAAAAAGCCATTTGATTTCTGCTTCTGCCAGCAATTGAGTGATTACTTATATGGAACATTTGTAGAAATGAGGATTTATTTTAGCAAGCTGAAGTATCTGTAGTGTAAAAGTGTGTGTGTGTGTGTGTGTGTGTGTGTGTGTGTGTAAGACACAGAGAGGAGACTCCTCTGGAAGTAAGCAGATCATGCAGAAAGCTTATACTAGAAAAATGTCTTCCAAATCCAATTCTTCTTTTCAAACTATCATTGCCAGAAGGTTGCCTCTGAAATCCTTCTAGCTTTTTATTCACTTCCATTCTTTTCATATTTACTCAGTGCAGATCACTGTGACATTTTTATTTAGCTGCATGATCGTCCTGAACCTTTGATCATTTTATTTGCGGTGACCTCTGTGCTGACTGCCTTGGGTAATTTGTGCCATCAGTGGTTTTGATTAGTTCAACTCTGGTGAGTCTTATGTCTTGATCTTCCCCAGGGATCTGAAGAAGAGCTCTGGAGCTAGCTCCCATCAAGAGTGAAAGTGTGTGTGTGTATGCTACTGGTTTTGTTTTGTTTCATAGTCACTACAGTGAGATTAATGTTGTACCAAACACTGGGCTAAGAGGAAACTCCAGTGCCTAATCTAATACTAACTTTGGCAAAATGAGACAGAAAACTCAGTCTTAGCTGTTTCCTCTTTGCATATTAGCTAATGACTATTAACTGGTAGCTCTTTCATCTTAAGATGGGATCGTTTGAGACTTGCTTATCCTTGAAATCAACACTGACTAGATTTTCAGCATCTTAGCCCGGAACACCCTTTACACACCAATGTTCTTTCCTGAAATGCTGGCCTTCCCTATTTATTTTGATTGAGTGGGAGGAAAAGCTTGTGCAGGAGAAGCTTCATTAAAGTGAATGGGGAAGTTGGTCCATGCTAGGGAGTGTTTATAACAAATTTATTCTCTGAAATGCTGGCTAGGACTAGAGCATCCTGAATAACTGCATGCTGAACCATGTGCTAGGCTGACAGGGGGCACTCAGGGAAGAACAAGAAGAGGACTTGGCTAGAATGACTTGATATACAGGGGCCAGATCAAAAAGAGGACAAGACTCCTGCTCTATGAATGTTGTGTAAAGGAGGGAATTGTTATGTAAACTTCACCTGCTGAATTTCTTCTTTTACCTGATTAGAGCCTTTACTCCTTTTTTTGTCTGGCCATCATATTGAGCTAACAAACAGCCAGTGCTGGCCCTGATAATAGGCAGAGTGTGGCAGCGGCCTCAGGGAGAGGATGCTGGGTGCTCTGGGGAAGCAGTACTGGTACCACCTACCTCATGAGTCCTCATCTATGGCTTGTATGACTAGCGGGGATTCTCTACTATACACATCTATCAGAGGAGTAGCAGTCCTGTCCTGTTTTGTATCTGGCCACGTTTTTTGGAGCACAATCAATCAATAGCTAGCTAGCTAGCAGCATACATGACTTGAATCCAAAACCATGATAAAGACTTTACATTTATTCATTTATTTACCTTATTAGTTGGATGCCACCCGATAGTTTCCAAGAAACTTAAAGACAAATAAAGGCAGATAAGTAATAACACAGGGGAAGGGAGGGGAGGGCAGGTCATATATTGTATTAACATTTCATATAACATGCAAGAAAACAAAAACAACACACCAGCCCCATAAACCGTAACAAACAACATTAGCAATGTAGTCAAATGATAAATGAAGCAATACTCTGACCCACTAGTTAGCAGATAAATGAAACCTCAGTCGCCTCCCTAGTCCAAAAGCCATACACTTCAAAACCAAAACCACCCCCCCAATAATCTCTCCAGCCCACCTGAAAGTCTGTCATCAGGCCAGCTTCTGCAGATCAGTTGTGGTGGGGTCCAGGAGTCCTCCTCCAAGCACCTCTCCTCTCTCTTCAGCGGGAGCAATAGAAAAGCAAAGCAGGGAGATGGTGGTAGATGTTTTACCTGCTTTTCAGTTGTCCCAGCTATTGCTCATCTCTTGCTGCTGGTGGGGGTGCAGGAAGAGGGGTCCTTCCACTTGTGGTCAAGACCAGCTGTGTCTGGCTCCTTCACTATGCAAGTTTCAGTGAATGCTGAAAACACACCTATTTACCCTGGCCTTTGACATCTCAGATGCGTGTTTTCAGGGTCCACCCACTTCCTGTTTTAACTGTTGTTTAATTCTTAATTTTTGAATTGTTGTAACCTTCTCTGGGGCCTGCTGGCAAAGGGCGGGTAGCAAAGTTCAAAGTAGTTGTAGGAATAATAATACAATGGAGCGAAAAATGTGTTCTACCCAACCTTCTGCCCTGACAGTGCTTCAGGTGTGGTGACGACTGCACTTCTCTGTTCCATCATTCTTCATCTGACCTGTTACCAAGAACAGAACTGTTACTTTTTTGAAGGGTGCCTGTCACATCCCATTATTATCAGGGCTTCCTGAGATCCAAGTGAAGTGCCTATCATTTGCTGTCACCAAACTCATCTATAACTTCTTCAGTGCATTCAAAGGACACAGTGTCCTTTAAAAGAAAGAAAGAAAAATAAGTAAATCCAACAGTTTATTTAATGTACCCTGAGTTAATTGCTACGTATTCACTTTGCAGCATTGAAACATGCCCCCTAAGGGGCATAACATGTTAACAAAATGTTGAATTCAGAGTTAGTCACATTTAGAGTAGAGCCAATCAAAGCAATAGTCATGACTTAAGCTCCACTGGTTTCAGTTGATCTACTCTAATCATCTGGAGCCAACCCAAATGTAGGGTCCTGAGTATCTTGTTACCTAAGATTTTCTCTGGTTTTGATTCCTTTTCTGTGTGAGATACTTTAGTCAAGAAAAAGGAAAGGAAAGTAATCCATGTTGTTTCCTTGGAATTACTTGATGATGAATGGGCCTATAACTTTTTAGTCTGTTATATAGTTTATCATACTGCTGTGACAGACCTACAAAAATGACACGAGATAAAATATAATATAAAATACATAAAGTATAGCTAGTTTTACTTTGTACAGATCTATAAGCTTCCGCAAAACAAGTAATAAATAGAAATAACAAAATAAATCGCCTTTGAAGTCTGCATGAGACAGTTCCTTTCAGTCAGCCTCAAGTGAAGAAAGAAATGAACATTTTATGTGAGAAGGTGAATCTATAATGTCAAAAAAATAAAAAGCAACAGGTTGGTGGTAGTGCCACATTAGAGAACTGTGACCTTCTAATGTACAAAATGCTCCCTATTTCTCTGGCTGCCTTATGTATAAAATGGTCTGTGAATATGTTTGTGTACTTGTTATATCTGTCCTGCAAGATTTGTGTCTGTCTTTAGGCATTCTTCTAGTAAAACTGCTTACATTTTATGCTTGTGGTTTTCTCATAGATTTAGTTTCATTGTCTCTCTGGAGATGGTCCCTGAAGTAAAAGAGAGGGAGAAGAATCTTTGCGGTAAGAAATCTAATATTTATTAGTCTCCTGCTGAAAGCAAGAAATACAAAAATATATGCTTAGAGAAATAACTGATGTGCGTTTTAAACTGATGTTCACATTTTTAAAAGATTCGTGGAACCCAGGGGGTTACCTGTATAGGACATTTTTTGACAACTCTCTGTTATTAATAAAACAGGTGCCACATCTTTCAGAACCCTATTTTAGCCAGGGAGAGGTTTTCACTGAATCCTGCCATGTTTATTTTTACCAGATGTAGCTGCCCACAAGGCCTGTTGAAAGCATGCGTCTTATTTTTATAAAAGGCTTTTTAAATGGATCAGAGGGTGGGGTGTTTTGTACTTATTGTTTGCTCTAGAAATAGTGTTCCCCTGTATTTACTGGCATTTAGGTTTCTGGCATCTGTGCCGGTTGAGGAGCTAGCTAACTATGGCAATATATCATGTCAAACTAGGCTAGTTATATAACTGTTAAAATGCTAGTTTTAAAAAAGATGCCCTGGAAAATGTTTTCCTACATTAGAGTTGCATCTCTTTGTATTAGAAATAAGCCAGTGTAGTGTTGTTGATGGGGTGGTGAACAGAACCGGAAAGACTGTAGTTCAAATCCCTGCTCAACCATGATGTTCACTGGGTGACCTTGGGCAAGTCACAATCTCTCAGCTATTCTCTCTCAGGGTTGATGAGGTGGTAGAAGGAGGGTGGGAGGCATCATATTTGCAGCCTTGAGCTCCTTAGGAAAGGGCAAGCTAATTATTGCAATAAATAATGTTTTTCTATCACTACTGTGATATCTGTAAGCAGACAAAACTCTGCTATGCAATGGGTTTTTCCAACAAATTCTTGGCATGCCTTGCTGCCAACATTCTCTTTCAGGAGTGAGGGGATTGGCTATCCTTGGCTTGATTCTAATCAATAGGGAAGTTTTAGCTGATGAGTTCAAACTAGTGGGAACTTTGCGGGGACTGTGCCCATAAAATGTTGGACTTTTTGGACTGGAATAATGGGCTGGAGTTCTGGATCTTATTGAAAACGAAAGGTCAGCACAGTCAAATATGTTCCTTGAATTTCAGGACAGCTGGAGCTCAGAGAAAAGCTAAGTAGGATTTGATGGCTAGATACCCTAATGGGAATAGAAGCCCAAAAAGGCTGATTTCCTGGAGGCAGAATCACAAATAATCCCACTGAGAAACAAAACAAAACAAAAAAAAGAGGGAGACATCTAAAATGACAGTGATGTTACACAAAAAAGCAGAGTGATGAGCAGAAAACAAAAAAGGACATATATAATACATGGAAGAAAGGAGAGGACACCAAGGACAAGTTCAGATGAGGAGCCAGTACTTGTAGAGGCAGCACCAGGAAAGCTAAAGCTTAGAACAAGCTGAGGTTGGTAAGGGATTTTGCAAGTTACAAGAAGGGCTTTTCTTCTATGTTCAAAGCAAGAGGAAGGAAACAGTAGGCTTAATGTGGAGTATGGATGGTGAAATGTTAACTGTTGACAAGGAAGAGGCACCACAGGTCAACTCCTATTATGCATCAGTCTTCTCCCAAAACATGATTTGTGTGCAGCTTTTCAAATGTAGTATGACTGGGGAGGAGTCAGGATTGCAGTTCTAGGTTGATAGCAAGGTGGTAAGGAATACCTAGCTACCTGGATGAGTCTGAAACTTTGGGGCCAGGTGAATTGCATCGTAGGGAACTAAAGTACTTTCAGAACCATAATATTTGCAAAAATACTGGGAAAGGGGTGAGGTGCCACCACAAGACTGAAAATGATGGCAAGACTGAAACTGTGCAAATTTTCCAGTCTTCAAAAGAGGGAGAAAAGAGGAAACAAAATTATGGGCAATCTAGCTTTGATTCCAGGAAAGATGCTAGAACTGATGATAATGGAAGCAGTTTGAAATAGTCTTGATAACAATTCAGTTATTAGTAGAAACTATCATGGATGTGTCCAGAATAAATTTCTGCCAGACTCAATTTATCATTTTTAAATTAGAGGACTATGAGAATATTATTGACATAATTTGTCTTGCATTTGACAAACTTACCCTGCTACACTTTGGTGAGCAAAATTGTTAAATGTGAGCTAGCTGATAATTCTGACAGATCCTGTCACAGCTAGTTGAAAAATCATACCAAAAAATATAGTTCATATGTACATGAGCTTGGCGCTGGTGCACTCTTCCTTTCCTCTCTTCTTCCAATGCAGCTGTGAGGAAGAGATCATGTTTTTGATTCTGTTTTCAATTAAATATGATTTATTATTACATATGGGCCACAAACTAGGGTTAAACATCAACATGATTTAGGTTATCAAAGTAAACCACACTTTTGTCCCCAAATCATATTTAAATCTAACCACAGTTCATTTGGGTTTAGACATAATGATAAACCGTGGTTAGTTAAAATTTGAAACGAAAGCTTCCAGTCTCTTCCATGCAGTTGCACTGGAAAAGGAAAGCAGTTCATGAGCCCCAAGCTTGTGTACATAACACTACACCACTGCTCACGTAGCACTGTATTATATAGTTCTCAAATCTCATTAGTTCTATTGGTTGTTCTATATTTGAGTATTCACTTTGAAGTCACACTTCAGTCACCTCTTGTAATACAGAACAGCTGATGAATCTATAACAAGCATTTTGTAGAAGATACTCCTTTGAATCTAAGGGATGTGAATGCTCAACTGTGAACACCTTTCTTGTTTTTCTTTTCGCTTGTTGACATACATTTCTCTTTCTTTTCTGTGAGATTCTGTGGGGTCTTTTCCTCCTTTTTACAGAGATGAAGCTACATTAGGAAACACGAGAACTTTTCTTCTTCAAGTTTGGTTATTTATAACCAGTTTAGCTCTATAATTAAGCTTGCATTTAATTGCTGTAATTGTGCCATCCTTGTTTAAAGACAAATGGGTTTCTCTGGGCTAGAGTATGTGCTGATATTTTTATTCTATTGAATTCCTTTAAAAGGCTATCTAGGGAGCTTCTGAAAACCTTGAAATAAATACAGGTCCCACACGAGTCTAGAATCCAAAAGAGGACACACACACCTTGGAGAAAGCTGCACACATGTTCCAACTTTTGTGTGCTATTGTCATTGTGTTTCCCTCCCCTCACCCCCAGTGCTGAAGAAGTAAGCCACTGATTTCTTAATAAATTGCTTCTCTCTTTGGAAGTGGAAATTGCAAAAGTGGACCAAGAAGAGAGGGCTCTGGTTAAGCAGATGGTTCTCTTCTATACAAGCATTTCTGTTTGTTCAGTCCTGGCCCCATTGTATGACGTTTGAGAAAAATAAGTAAGGGTTTTTTAAATCATTAAGAATGCTGGGAATTGTAGTTCTGTGAGAGGTCCATTACAATTCTCATAATTCAGGAGCAGGGGGAGCCATGACTGTTAACGTAATATAAATGTGTTTTCAGTGTATGGTGTAGATATTACCTTAGTCTTCAGGAAGATTCCCTCAAATTGATTCCCCCTTTCGTTTCCCTCCCTCTTTTATTCTCCAGAGTTCATAGCCTTTATCACTTGCTACAGTTCCAAACATCTTGCCCTTGGGAGCTGAACTGAAATCATATGAAAGAAGTAAGGCTTCTGTTTTCATAGTGTGGCTGTGGCTTGGTTGAAATTTATGTAAAACTCAGCCACGGTCATATAGAAGATTTATGAAGCTCTTTGATAAGCAATTCAGCACATGTTCAAATATCTAAAAATAGATACCATTGCATATTACATAAAGAAGCAATATAGTTGACACCTCATGTATAACACTACCTCTTGTTATTTACCTTCAGTTCCTGAAAATGGCAAAAAGTGGTGGTTGTTTTTTATTGAATCAACTGAGAAGTCAGGTTATGCGGCAATTTTTCATTGTTTTTCAAAATGGTCTCTATTTTTAAAAAAGTTTCTCCAGTTTGAAAGGTTACTAACCTTGTCTGCTAGAATATTCAAGAATAACTGTCAGCACTGTTGTGGGAAGATGTACCCCTTATGCACTCTGCCAACAATATACTCTTGGTGAGAAGTCTAATTGATCTCAGTGACATCAGAGGTGCCATCTTACAAGGGTGATGGGGGGGCAATGTTGTGATGTCACAATGTCCTGACGTCACACATGCAATGTAAGGACGTGCGGAGGAGCCGGGGCAGAGCTGAATGTGTCGGCCATGCAGCCTCAACCCTTTGTCCCTCCAGTGGTTTCTGCACCACAGCTCGCATCACCCTTGACCATTGCAACATCTGGAGGGTCAAAGGTTGCCCTGCCCTATATGAATCCTTTGAAATGTGTAGAGCCTCGGTCAGCCATTCTGAAAGGGACTGTGGCTTGCCATGGTATGATTCTTATTAACTTTCTTTAGGAGTGAGGAAGGTATTTCCATTCCCATCCATATGAAGATCCAATAATCTGAGATTGCTTAGAGGCATATGTCTGCAAACCTTCAGGTGAACGGTGGCTGGCTAGCTACATTGCAGTTGATAACAGTCAACGCAAGGCCATCATATGAAAGTTTGAGACTTTTTCTTTTTTATAAAGCAACAGATAAATGTAATCAGTAACGGTGATAATACAATAGGGGATAATTTAGCTCAGGGATAAGGAATATGTGCCCCCCCCATGGTTTCATGCATTTTTATGAGCTGCATGAGACCACTACCACTCTGAGCATCTCTGATCATGCTGGCTGAGACTGGGAACTAGAGTCTAACAAGTGCTGGAGAATCACAGGTTCCTCATCCTCCTGCCCCCCCATTTGGTCATACCTCCAGATCTTCCTGCAGAGCACCGTGGCTCAGACGTAAAGCTCTTGCTATGCACTGGTTCCATCTCTGACTCCATCAGGCACAGCTTGGTCTGAAACCCTGTAGACCGAACTAAATTAGATGGACTAATGGTTCAACTTGGTATAAGGCGGTTTCTTCTACAACAAGCATACTGTTGAACTCCCATGTCTGCAGCACTTCTGTGTGCTATCGGCTATGCCAGTGCTGTCCAAAGAGAGCCAGATTTGATGAAGTGAGGGCCGACCAAAGTTGTTGAGCTTTTTTTAGGACTCAAGTTGTTGAGCTTTTTTAATCCAGTAGGCCCCAGAAATGGACTTTGGACATGCCTGAGCTGTGGTGTCCCTTTTATCGTTGCATTTAGATATTGATGATTTCTGTGGAACTTAGTTTCAGCCAAAGACCACAGAGCAGCAGTGGCCACAACCCCCTCCAATTACCTTCTCCCTGGTCACCAGATTGATCCTTTGATGGGCAGAGAGGGGTTGACAATTCTCTATTTAGTGGATCAATTTAATGTGGGGGAGGCTTTATGCCTGCAAATGTGTGTGTGTGTGTGTGTAAGAGAGAGAGAGAGTGTGAGTGACAGTGTGGGGTGGCTGCCCCCACCATTGGCATGCGACCAACCCTGATGTTTGGGCAAGGGTAAACACAACCCTCAGACCATAAAAGGTCAGCCACCGTAGGCATAAAGTGAAGGATATGATCAATGGAATATTGTTGACATGCTTAGGAGTCGGTTCTAAACCATTCAGCTTGTTTTTCCTTTCCTTCCTAATTATTTTCTATCTTATATTCATGTAATAAAATATATTTACATTGTGGTTGTTTATCTCAACATGACATCCGACTTTTACTTCTCTTTTCCCCCCAATTACTGGGAAGTGGTGCTTGCACCCCAATTCAAAAGCCATTAAAAAAGGACAACTTTTGTTGGCTAAGCTCTAGGCTTGTTAGATTCACTGATGCTTTATGAGGCTTATAATATATTAATGTTCACTACAGAATAAAGGCAGACAAAAAAAATATTGATTTCAGAGAGAATGTCTTTTAGCTGGGCTTTCTTATTTCAGGGCTGAATATACTGTAGATTTTGCATCAGTGCTGGGAGCAAACGGATTAAAAAAAAAATCAGTTCTCCATCAGGGAGGAGGTATTGACAGTGTACAACCAAATCAGCAAAAGGCATAATGGTTCTATTCAGGATAATTCCAGAATAGTTCCATCTGTTTACTCTAACCTGGGTCATTTGTAAAAGTTAAGAAGTACATGCAAACGTTTATTCTGAAATTCCTTTTCTTTAGCAGATTCAAAAAAATAGTTAGCAGTAGACAAATGCTTCAGTTCTGATCTCATATAGGTGATAGTAAATCCTACTGAAGTTGGTAGGCTGCTGAACTGGTTTAGACATGATACAGGGAATAGCCAACACCATTGTGAGTTCCCCATCCCTTAGCCATATTGTTCAGAAAAACAGCGAATATAATAGATGAACAAATTCAAAACCCATTAGTATTGTTGAAGATGCAGATTTAGATATACATGCACATTCATTTCAATGTAGTGGTATGAGAATTGACTCACAGTAGCTATGTGGGTGGGAGATCACAGCAATTTCATCCAGCTGTGTTAAATACATGCGAGCTTTGGATATTAACAGGAAAAAAAATACTTCATGTTTAGTATAGGGTGAAGGGGCCTACTGCTTAGTTAGGAGCCATAATTTAGTCTGTTAGCTCAAGTTTTACTTGATTAGCCAACCGACTGAGCTGATCAGAATTTACAGCCCTTATTTTGTGCTTTGTGTTCTTGTATTTTTACAATGCCAGATTAACCTCCTTAAAATAAGGTACCTGTTGAAGAAAAGTGCTTCTGGAAGTGTAAGGGCTTCTAAAAACAAACCTGTTCTTCGTTTCCTTGAGAAGGCTAAAGATAAGAGGGAAAACGCCATAGAACGATTTCGGTGGCTGAAGCAATGATATGATGCTCCCATTAAATTTTCAGAATTACACTAGATAAGATAGTTCAAGCCGGAGTTGGAAGACTGGGAGTGGATGGTTCTGCACATCAGAAAGTGACAGACACATGCCACTAATGCTAGCTGTTCTTTATCCAGGAAGGAATCTCTAATACCTCTCCACTCTTCTCTCTTTTCCCCCTTTTGCTCTGAAGCCTTATCACTGGGATATTCTTCAATCAATCTATCCCAGTTAATAGAAAAGATATAAAGTAATAATAAAAGTAATGGTGACAGACAGGAAGTAGGAGTTAGATGCATTGTGTCCACTGTCTGGAAGCTTCTTGTAAAGAAACATATTTTCCCCCAGGTTTTCCCTGACCCACAAAATTGGACCCCATTATTGTTTTCACAGTACTGTGCAGTTTACTGGTTTTAAATGCTGTGTTGGTGTTTTTATGATACCATTTTATCTGTTATTTTTATGTTGCATTTCTGTATTCTACTTAGATATGTTTAAATATTAAGTAGTTTAGAAATGGTTTTAAATAAAATAAGCAGCTTCCAACGTGCCAAACAAGACATGAGTTTTGATCATATCTATCACCTGCAGTGCAAATGGGACTGGAAAATTGAAAGTACAGGCACAGCAATTGTTCAACTAGTGATGAAGTAAGAGGCAGTTGCTTCGGATAAAAATATTAACTTCTAGGCCAGTTAGCCAGTAACAATGAGCATCTTATTACAGTATATAAACTCAGTCTTTTTATCTAAAAAAAGTTTAGTCTCATTTTGACTCAAGAAAAGCACCATTTTATAGTTCAAATTGGGGAAAATAAATACAGTAAATGGACAAAAGTACAAAGAACATGCATTATCTCATATTACACAGCTGACAGCTCATGGTAACTTCCACATTGGCATGAAGTTGTGTGTGCTAACAACTTTCCGATTCCTTTCTGGGAAAGGAAATGAAGCTGCCACCGGAGGTGTTAACAATGAAACTGACCAATCACCATGCTAGATTCCAACTCCTACTTCATACATTAAACGCTTGCTTCCGTCTGAGACTCAGGAAACATTTCTCAGGGGTAGCAATGGAACTGACAATTCACCGTGCTAGAGAAGAAACAAAAAAATGATATATATTTTTAGTTTCTTCTCCCGTTAGATTCACAAAATGTTGACTTCCGGGTTAGCGCCATCGGCGAATGGCGGAGTTCCTCCAACCGGAGGAACTGGCTCCGTGGAAACTGGGTCTTCCCGCCGCGGCGAAGGTGGGGACCCGCTAGAAATCCCAGGCGTAGGAAGCCTGGGGACGTGGGGTTCGGCAGGGCACCAGGAGCGCCCCCCTACTCACGGGGAACCCCTTTTTGGGATTCCGGAGTGAAGTGGGCTGAACAGCGCGGTGCTGCGAACTGACTGCTACGTTCACGGAGTGAAGCCGCACAGCCATCGCCGGAGAGCACTGACTTTTTCCTGTGGACAATTGGATTTAAAACAAGTACCCGTGAGTAGAAACGGAAAATTGGATCAAGAAATATCTTAATTTGACATCGAAGCGGGAAGGTTCAAAACAGGAAGTCCGCCTTCCGCTTTTTGTATATAGACTAAAGCAAAAACCTTGTAAGCTAAAGCCTGGAAAGTCGTTAAAAAAGCCTAAATTTCCTTCATTTATAACTACTGAAACCCCCTTGGAAGCAGGAGAAAAGGGGGGGGACTTTGGGTAATGCCTGCAGGTGAGGGAGTGAAGAAAGATAAGTTTCCACCGTCTCTAACCTGGGAACGGGGTGTCAGAGACAGAAATTGTTGGAGAGGTTCATTGACTGTGAATGGAATACTTTGACAGATAGCTGAAGAAGAGAAATAAACTGATTCCAATGTTGCCTTTTGCATTCTAAAGAAACAAAATATCTGAAAAATGAAGGTAATTTTCCTTTGTTGGACTTGCCTTAAAAAGATGGATACAAATAGAAATTGTCTCCTCTAGAGGAGCCTGCTAAATTGTTGCTGCAGTCTACTTGAGGATTCCACAGCTGTGAGATTAAGATCGTGGGATTAGTCCTTTTGACCTTGACTAAATATGAGCTGGAAGGAAGTTTTGGTGCTTGCTTTATGCAAGACAAGTGCTTTGTTGGAACAGATGCATGAGAAGATGGATTTGATGAATGAGAAAATGGATTTGATGACTGTTGTGGCCAATAACTGTGGACAAATAGTGAATAGTGATACAGAAACCATCCAGGATCCAACTCAGGAACCTGTATTGATTGGGCAAGTGCAGAAGATAATGGAGGAGGCTGCGGTTGCACCTCAAATAATACAAATGGAGAGGCCCAAGGCC